CTGTTGCATGTGAGAGCTTGGGCTGCCGGGGCTATTGGCTGCGGGTGCAGGTCCTGGCAGCAGCTGACGTGGGGAGTGCTTGGGATGTAGGTGTATGAGGAGACTTCACAGACTTTAACGTGACACTTGGAGGAGTTATTGTCCAGCTTAACCTGGCTTTGCTGTTCTTTTTAATTGGAGGTCTGTGTTAGTTTAAGAAAACAACAAACCTGTAAATAAGAGTGGTGAAAGCTTAGCAGCGCTGCACTCACCAATTGGTGGCAGAGTGAACCTTTGTTTTCGTGTACCTGGTGGTGCTGTCTGGTACTGGGGGAGTGAGGAGGGGAGGAGGGAGACAGCAGGAGGAGGGCATTCTTCTTCTGATGAGCCCACAGTGCTGGCAGGACAGATCTGTGGCTCTGCTCATGCTGGTGCAAGGTCAATGATTGCACTGCAATAGGAATCTAGGCATGTATTTCCAGGTATTTTTGCTGATGAATGTTCATTACTAATGATATGAAAGCAAGATGGCAATTAGCGCTGTGATGTGAAAAATGTTTCTGTTTGCTCACCAGTGTTTGCAAGTGAAGGGACACAAGTCTAGTGGAGCCAACTGCTCAGAAGCCCTTATTTCTGCTTCTGCCTGCCGTTATTCTTCACTGTTTTCTAACATCAATTATTATAAAACTGGGCAAGTAGAATTGTTTAAAGATTGTCTCTCTGGATGGTCCTTCAGTGGAAAACGTGGTTGCTAAAAAATCAAAACGGAATACTCTCTTTCAGTTTGATTTGTGGCTGTTTACAGAAGTCCCATCTCTAGCCCAGAGGTATCAGTGCTGTGAGCGTGCTGGCAGTACAAGGAAGGTGAGAGAGGTACAAGCACAGGAGGAGCTCCACCACCTGCCCCAAGGGTTTCAGAGCGCTCAGAAGCCATGGGTGCTGTGTGGGGGAGCCACAGGTTCCCCTGAGCAGGACCAGCGTGACCTTGGTGCTGCTGCAGCCACATCCCTGCAGTGCCATGGTGTGTTATAACGCACAGAGCAGGAGCAGGCCTTCCATGGGGCAGTGCTCCATAGCTGCTCAGCAAGCTGCAGGACTGCTCAGTTACCTCCCCTGACCCGAGCACCTCGCCCACATTTGCAGGCTCATAGAGCTCTTTCTGCAGGAAAGATGGATCGGCTGCATGTCTTGTGCAGTGCTGTTTATTTCCAGAGGCTGCGCAGGGCTCAGCTTCCCTGAGCGTGCACAGAGCAGGCAGCAGCTCTCTCTTGCCCGGATGCTCCTCTGGGCACTTAGCCCTCAGCTCCCCCATGGGGCTGAGGCCCCCCAAGCAGCCAGCACCCACACCCCAGCTCCATGCTTGCAGACAGGGAAGCCTTCCTGCCACTGAGCTCAGCTCCTGACCGCCCTCAGCTATTTTTGGGTGACGCCTCCTACTGTTTCAGCCCTCCAAATAAAGCTCAGCACACCTGGCTGTAATGCTGACACCATTTGCTGCAGGGGCAGCAGCCTCAGCACAGCTCTGCCTGCCCTCTGTGGTCTGGGATGGCCGTGCAGGCTGTGAAAGCCAGTTTGGTTTGACTGCTGCTATGCTGGTGCAGAGGCATCATCACCTCTTTCCAAGTTTGCTGTGTAAGGACTGGATGAGTCCCCTAAAATAAATGGACCATCAGCAGAAATGATGGAGACTCTGTGAAAGAGCATAATAACACTGTGCCCAGTGATCTCAAGGACATGTAGTTTTAAAAGCCCCTCTGCCCCCTGCCTTGAGCCTATCTGTGAGCAGCTCCCCAGGCCTCTACCCTCACCTTGCACCCTGCTGCCCTGCCCTGGTGCTGGGCAGATGCTCTTTGAGTGCTCCTCTCCCTCTCTCTTCCATCCTCTCCCAGAGGAGTACATGCATTGCTGGGGCCATGCAGGGGCTGTGCCTGCTGCCCAAGGAGTGGGCTCTGGTACCAGCATGGGGCTGCTTGGTGGGGCCACAAGAGGAGAAAGTGGCAAGGCACGTTGTGGTGGTGGAAACCTGTCCCATGCAAATGTTTTGTCCCTTCCTCTGGTTTCAAACTTATTTCCTATTTCTCATGAGAGTGTAGTCTGATGGAGAAGGGAGGGGCGGGCAATGAACATGTGATTTTTTTTCTCATTTTTCTTTATAAACAGCATATTATATACATATAATATATTATATTATATACAATATGTTTATATTGTATATAAACAGCATATATGTTTTTTTTTTTTATTGTCTTTACAAAAGGTGTGCAGTGTGCGTGCTGGAGCACCGGGCACTCTGACAGCAGTGTCCCATAGGGCATGGGATGGGGCAAAGTGCTAGCAGCCACCAGCCATGGGCTGAAGTGCAGCAGCTCACTGAGCAGCACACTGTGAGTGAACCTCTGGAACAGCAACAGCACCTGGCCTGCTAGCGCTGAGCTGGTGCTGCCCTGGTGCTGCCCTCAGGTCCCTGGGGCAGGACTGGTGCACACCCCAGGCCTGGCACACCCATCGGCTGGCCCTGCTGGCACTGTGGCTGCATTTCCCTGCCATTGGCGGGAGCAGAGCTCTGCTCCGTGCATTTTCAGTTCTGTTTTTCTTTTAAGGAGGTAGCAGCAGCTGCAGGACGTCGTCGTTAGCCAGCAGTGAAGGCGATGATCCAAATGAACCTCCGTAGATGCTTCGAGGGGCCCGAGACCCATTCCCACATCTTTATTTTCATACAGCGCTAAGAAGCAGGCGTTCAAGTACGATTCCTGCAGGCCGTGCTTTCCATGCGTGCGCCACTTCTGATTGGCCCGAGTTCCCTTCCTGCTGCAGCAGCCTCGTCTCAGCTCTTTGTCATGGTGATTCAGTAATGCTTCACCGTTGTCATGGTTGCGGGGCTACTACTGAAGCCAAAGCAATTGCACAGCCCTTTTATTCATAGTTTCAGTGTATAAACTAATTAAGTAAACTGAAAGCAACAGCCTCTTCCCCGAGCCTTGTTTTTGTAATACCCAGCATCAGATGGGCTCTATTTTTGCAGTCCTTCCAAATATCAAAAACCTGACTTATGCTTGATCTCCTTGGATGAATTTAGTATCCGAAAGTGGGCAGAGTTCACTGATCATTTAATCACCCAGAAGCGTTCTCTCAAAGCTGCGAGGGTCTCTGAAAACCTCTTTTGAGCAGCGAGGCCGGAGCTGGGAGCCAGCATGTTTCAACCCAGTCGCATTCCTTATCGCTGCTCTGCTCGTGGCAGAAACCCAATCAAAATGTTTGGTTTCTGAGTTCATGCTTTGCTGTGTACAACTGCTGGCAGGACGATTTGGGGGAACTCTGCCCACATGCACCCAGGGGCAGTGGGGGCGGCTGTGAGCAAAACGCCCTCCGTGGCTGCAAAAATGGTCTTCTGCAATCCCGTTTTTGTTAAAAACCGGTGTAAGCACAGAGTGTGTTTGCAATCCCTGAGAGCAACGAGGGGAACCCGGTGGTTTCTGCGTGAGACGGGAACGGTTGCCCTGGCATCTGCCTTTGTCAGGGAATGAGTTGGAAGATTCAGTGTCCCGGATTGGTGCCCTGTTTGCTGATCAGCTGCTGCTCTGCCCTTGGCAGTCATCCTTGTGTGCTATGGGCGAGGGGGAATTTAAGGATAAATTGAAACAGAACAGAAACCTATTTCCTGCTAAAATTAGCTGTTTCTGCCTTCGCTGGGTATCTCTCCACGATGATGCACTTGCTCTGGCATCTCGTCCCTGGAGAATAGTGCTTTTGTGGGGTCACCCTTCTTTCCCGCAGCCCTCCTCCTCCTCCTCAGCACACAGTAGGAATTGTTTCCTGTCCTGCAGTTACACTGTGCTGGGGAAACTGTGCTGAGCAGCTCATCCCAGTGCACAGGGGAGCACGGGACTGGGGCTAGTGGGTGCTGGGGCTCTGCTGCCCTGTGCAGGTGCCGGGGAACCATGGGGACCAAGACTATACCAGCATGTGCCAACTGGACCTGCAGTGCCGATGGGCTGCACTAAAATCTGCCCCTCTGCACCCCAGTCCCTGGGTGGACACTGCTGAGGCTGGCTGCTTGAATTCAAAGCAAAACCATGAATAAATAAAACCCATCTCTTTGCCTCTCGCTGCCTCTGGACGAGGCCAGACCTTAAATGAGATTTCCACAAGGGGAAATATGGGAGCATTCCAGTGAGTGCCATCCCTGCCCTGGGCATGGAGCACTGGGAGCCATAGTGACAGCAGCACCAGTACAGCTGGGAATCCAGGTTCACGTAGACCAACTGGGAGTCTGCATCACTGGCACAATTGTATTATTGTCTGCTTCTTTAGATGCTTATTTTTTTAATTCAGTAAAGTGGTGTTGCAGTGCCTTGTTGCTGCAGCTTGTTGTATCCGAATGTGCAGCCTCATCCTGCAATGCCTGCTTTTCCTTTTCCTATAGGCCAGCAGTGAAGCAATGACAGTGGCCACCTCACACGCTGAGGTGCTGTCTGATGGGTGATGCTCCACATATGCAGTCAGTCTGTAACCTCAGCTCCTGCCTGACGTCTGTGTGCTGAGAGCAATTACAGCGTGAAATATTTCATCTTAAAGCAGAGAATTTTTTCAGTGCTGTGCTGCAAGTAAGTTAATTATCACAGTTAGGCAGCCTGATGAGGTGTAACTTCATCTCTGCAAAGTCAGTTTCTCAGTAAAGTTCAGCACTGAGAATTTACTAAATCCCCTGTATTCAAATGTGCTGCTATAAATACCTCGGAGTGAAGACTCTTTTTCCTTTCTGTGAATGATGGCTAGAAACACTCTCATCACTATTTTCAGCAAGGTGATCTAAAAAGCAGCTCTGTTGCAGGGAGCTTACCTCGAAGAGAAGAGTTTCTGAAGAATTTTTTGCTGTCCCTTCACGAAGCTCAATATTTGGTTTTCCTAAGTCGGAGTGCTTGTTTCTTTTGGAGGAGCCTGTTTGCACTGATGTTTGCCATTCTGCATGCTTGCAAGACCAGTAACACTATAGGCTTTAACTATAAAAATGAGGTTGTTAGCTTTTCAGGAACATCTTCACCTTGCTGTTTGCTACCCTGTGAAGCACCAGGTCCAGGCACTTCTTGAGTCCAACCCATGGGATTGTATTGCAGAACACAAAAGCAGCAAAAATGGAAGAAGAGCATCGCTCTGTAATGGATCAGTAGGTATTTTGTAGAAATGTTTCCTCCAGATGGTGCAGCTCAGCACAAGGGAAGGTTTTGCCTGGGAAAAGTGCCCACCAAGGTGGTGTGGATGGAGAAGGACAGTACCGTGCTGCCTTGTGGAGCAGCCTGTGCTCTGTGAGGGAGCCTCTCATGGCAGCAATGCCATGTGTCAGTGAGGGGTGGGTGCTGGGAGAGGGGGAACTGAGGGAAGGGAAGGACAAGGTGACGAGCAATGTGTGGCCTGTGGGGAAGATGCACCTGGTGACACAGTGTAGTCTTCACCAAAGGAAGTTCTCCCAAAGCTGCAGCTCTTTGATAGACACCTTCTATGGGGCAGGATAACACTTTTTTTTTTCTTTTTCTTTTTTTTTTCCCTCCAAGTATTTGTTAACAAAGAAGGAGGCACCAATTGGGAAAGAAAATAATTCCCCTCTGCCAAGGGCCTGTTCACACAGTGTGCATCTGACTCTCAGCTGAGGCTGGGTCAACCTCAGCAGCCCGGTGCTGTCAGCAGGCATGCACCGTGCCTCAGGGCTGCTCTCAACCACTTCAGGATCAGCTGGGACCAGTTCTGTGTGCTTCAGAGGCTGCCACCTCATCTCCTCAGTGGAGGTGGAATGCTTGGCGGGAGCAGCGCGGTGCCACCAGGCCTCACCCAGGTGTGAGGGGCCGGGCGCCATGTTGATTCACGCCGCCATGGCGACACTGAGGAGATCAAAATGGGATCAATTTCTGCATCTGAATGGGAATGCTGTTTTTGCAAAGCAAGGGGCCTGTTTGGAGCTAATCTTCAAGATGAAGGAAGGCACTTATGATTCTGCAGAAGGATTCTGTTGCTGATAAACATCAGTACATCTTTTTTAGCACGGCAAATTAAGCATGAGACTGTAACTATTTATAAATACCCTAAGGGGTGAATATCAAGCAGGAAGAGCTGCAGGAGTTAAAGGTTAATGTTAGCCTGTGATCATGCGGGTATGAATTAGTCATGAATAAGTGCAGACTGAAGACGAGAGGACTGTTCACAGTAATGTGAGGAGCGAAAGTCTGCAACTGGGGAAAACCTGAGTAATAGACAGATATCCCTGAAGGCAGACAATTACCAATGCTTTGGGCATCCTTGGGAATTTGTAGTGCTGACCAGTGCTTCCCCATCTGGCTGTGTCCAGGTCTGGGGCGCCCAGCACAAGACAGATGTGGAGCTGTAGGGTAAGCAAGTCCAGAGGAGTGCTGCTAAGAAGCTCACAGGACTGGAGCACTTCTACTATGAAGAAAGGTTGAGGGAGTTGGGCTTGTTTTGCTTGGAGGAGGCTCCAGGAAGACCTTGTTGTGGCCTTCCAGTACTTAAAGAGGGCTATAAACTAGATGGAGACCAACTTTTTACCAAAGCAGATAGTGGTAGAACAAAGGGCAATTGCTTTAAACTAAATGACAGGAGATTTGTGTTAGATGTTAGGAAGAAATTCTTTCCTCAGATGGTGAGGCACTGGCACAGATTGCCCAGAGAAGTTGTGGATGCCCCATCACTGAAGGCATTCAAGACCAGACTGGATGGGTCATCAGGAAATCTGATCTAGTGGGAGATGTCCCAGCCCACAGCAGAGGGGTTGGAAATGAATGAACATTAAAGGCACCCTTCCAACACAAGCCATAAGACACCATAAGAACACTGCAAATACGGGTATGGATATATAATTGCCTCTATTTAAGCACAACTTTGAAAAGTTTCAGTAATTATTAGAATTGCAGACTTTATTGAACATCAGAATGCTGCTGGCTACTATTTGTGTGGGATGGAAAGCTTGTGTGGGTATAGGTTCTGGATGACACAGTTTCTGGGTGCTCAGTCTGAAGGTCAGTTTAAGACGTACCTTCAAAGTGTACTCAGCTGAGTATCTCCTATTTCATAGACATGAATTCATTACTCATATAATGTAAGTAAAATTACAGTTTACAGTCCAGGCAAAAGATGAGTGATATGAAATCTTTGAAAGAACTGAAGGAGCCTAAAGCAATATGTCAAGCTATTTAATTACATCTCAATGTCGCAAATTGGTGTCTCCTAGCTTGGGAAAAAAAAAAAAACAACCAAAACAAAACCTAAATCTTTCTATTTAAGAGACTTTTTATATTGGCTGAGAAAACAGTAAATTGAAAGGCAACTGCATTGTGTGCATTTGTAACAAACTGCACACTTCCACCTCTCTTGGAAATCCCTTAATGAAATATTACATTATTTTATTCCTACCATATTGACTGTAACAGTTTCACTGCTTGATTTTTCCAAAGCCTCAACCTGTTGTTTACATTTTAACACCAGAAATGTTCTTTGATGTTTGATATTTCTATGAAAATGACACTCCTCATTCATTTGGTAGATTCTGATTTTGCTGCTTGTCTCCAATTCGGCCCTTTTTCTGTTATAATTTTGAACAGTAAGAACAAGCATTTGGTATTTTTTTTGTTTGTTTCCCAGCAAATGAACTATTTCCTGTTTTCTTTTGTGACTCTCTACTTCAATAGCAACTGACAAAACTGACAACAACAGGGACATTGTTCCCCACTTCTCTTTCCTCCAACTGAGGCTGCAAAGGAAGAAGGCAAAGAGGTGAGTCTGCAGCATGGAAGGCAAGGACCTGGAATGTGGAAGGTGCCTTGAGCATCCCTGGGAGGAAAAAGGTGGTGTCCTCTCCTGTGTCAAGTGCTGCACAAAAGGAAGAACGAGTGACATGACTGTAACTAAGACCCTCCTTCTAGATGAGGAAGCTGACAATAGAGCAAGAAGGTGGGCAGCAAGCAGGAGGTAAGTGTTGCACTGTTTCAGAGAAAGGACTAGAAAAGGATGAGGGTGAAGGCAATGCCTGAACCAGATGTTTAAGGGCCTGCCACAAAAAGCAGAGAAGCAGCAGCGTTAGAAAAGGCAGCTGCAGCTTGTGTTGTGTAAGGAAATGCAGAGGGACAGGGCCTTTTCAAAAACAGTAGATCAAGAGTGAGTTGTTCAGTCACTTGCCATTTGTGATGTGCTCCAAACACTTCCTTAGATAATAGTTTTCCAACCTTCCAAATGCTAAAAAGCTAATAATATTTTTAAGGACTAACCAACCAGGCAGTGAACAGTATCAGACTGCTCGAAGATAAGCACATGATAACTGTAAATGACAAAGCAAAAGGGAATACCATGAGAACAGATCATAATTATGACAATTACTGATGTCTGATTATCACATGTGATGTCTTGGCACAATGCAAAGCAGTTTTTCTATTTATCCTTTAAAACCTTCTGTTTCCTGATGTGTTTTTTTGTTTTGTTTTTTGTTTGTTTTTTTTTTTTTTTTTTTTCTCATGTCATCTAAAATTCCTTCATCCGCTTCGTGCCAGGGATGACCCTTGCTGACTGAGGTCATTCTGTAGGTTTGCTCCCAGAAAAACCCACTCCTTCTCCTCAGTGCAGAAAATAGTTTGACTGATGTTTTTCTGAAGTTAAGAGTTAATTTTTTTTATATACACAGACCACTCCACAGTAGTACTACAGGTGATTAAAAGAAATCAGCAGCTACTCAGCAACTCAAAGGATGCTCTTGAGTGGTATTCCAATGGGGATATACAGACCAGACACAACAGCAGTGTCCATGCCACGAAATAGCTAGGGTGTTTCCTGGAAAATCCTTCTTAGAAAATCCTTCTAAACAGTGTTTGAGCCATCAGAAAGATGCAGCTAATGCTAAAGATTATGATTTGTTCTCAAGTTCTTAGATTTGCATGTTGCTGTAGCAAAGCCTAATATTTTGAATTCCTGAAAACACAAAGCTTTTTCCAGCAGAAGATGCATAATGCATGAAGTCTAAGAATGATAATTAGTGCTCCTCAGATTTGCACACCGTGCAAAGATCTTTCATTAGATCTATATGATATGCTTGATCTAGGTGCTATATCATGGAGACAAGGCCAGGCATCGCTGGTATCAATGGGACTACAAATCAAGAGTGTTTGTGTTTAGATCACCAAATAAGAGGTTAAAAGGTGGTCTGCAAAACTAAGAGAGAGGCAAATACATTTACCAGTATTAGAACAGGAAGTGCAGAGAGCTAAAGAATACCTTTCTGACTGAATATAAGTGAACTGCCACCTGACTCATGAAATAAATCAAAATATACCTGTCCACTTTTGATCAAACACTTCATCCAAATGATATGATGATACCAGTGGAAATTATTTCCTATGTTCCTATGTATCCCTCAGAACGAGCTCCAGTGATCCATCCCCTATGAGACTAGTGTTAGCAGCATGCTGCCATCAACACCCAGAGTAGGTGCAGAGCAGAAAGCAGTAGAATTCCCAGGAGAAGAACTGGCAGGGAAAGAAAATCTCATTTTCAGCTTTCCATTTACAGCCTAAAATAGCCAGTCTGCTGGGAGCAGTAGTTCTTAGCAAAAACAGTGATTATGAGGACTATGGTCTTATTTACTTTCTGCCAGTGTTGCAGCACGCACCGTATACTCACAGGATATTTTTAGTCATGGATTCTGCCAGGCAGAAACACAGAGGAGTTAATCATGTGTAACAGATTAAACAGACAAAAAAGCTAGCAGGACTGGGGGGCTGCAGCAACAGAATATCTTTCTTACCCTCTCTAGCCCAGGTTCCCAAATGCGTACGGTCTGGGGGATTCTGGATAGGATAAAGGCAAAGGTTAGTGGTAAGTTTTGAGCTGGGTCAAGCATTCTACAGAGGCTGGCTGAGACCTGTCTGCATTCAGATTGTTGTCAGAGTTAAAGCTCTTGTAGATGTAAATTGTTGAAGCTGACATATTAGCGGTATAGAGCTGTAGGCCTGAAGTGGACTCCTTCCTATCTGCCGTCCCTGTGAAAGGCAGCACTGCCTGCTCAGGAATTAGGAATTGAATATGGAATCAGGAAGTTAAGGAGTTAAGGAGATTTGCTGTTGGCTGCACACCCATCGTGCCACTGGCATAAGCAGGATGCTCAGAGCCACCTCTGTCTGGAGCAGGAAGTACCTGTGCCAGGCTGTGGCTAGGCCTTGGGAGAGGGATGCCCAAAGTCTTCTTCCTAGGGGGAAGTAAATCACTGCTCTCTTAATTACCGTGAAGGAATGAAGATGGGCTGGAGAAGATGCAGTTTATTCAGGTCTCCCCAACTCGCAAGCTGAAGGAAAGCACCAAGTTTATAACCAATTCTGTCTTTTCTGGAAGGGCAAATATTTTCCCCTCTAATGGGAAGATGCAAAGAGGATTATGACAGCAGTTCCCTTCCTCAGGCAGGTTTATTTTCGGGCAAGAGAAGCCTTTCATAATAAGTAACTGCTCTTTGTTATGAAGCAGCCTGTGTCGGTGACCACAGGACTTCAGGGACACAAAATAGATGCTATCTGCCCAAAACTCACAGTCATTGACTATCATTTTGATTTCTTTACTGGGTAAGAGCAAGAAAATGGCTTTTAAATTAGATGTTGAACCCCTTCCAGAATTGCAATATAAGACACCGAATCAATCATTCTTCTTACAGTTACCTCCTACTCCACAAGCTCCTACTACCATAAAAATTGGTCACTGTAAACTGAGCTGAGTGAATAATTTCCAGTTTCAGATTTGTTTGAGAATATTTTCCTCTTCCTCTATTCATTATTTGTCTGTTAGCAGATTGATTTTCCTGAATTTATGTTTTTGGAAAACTTGTGCTGTAACCGTTCTGCAAGTAATTCCCTCCATAAATCATGTGTGAGTGATTTGCTGAGGAGTGTTCAAACATTTGTCCTAATTCTGCTCAGCCTCCATGAACTTGCATCTCATGGTATCTGCTCCTCAGCTCCATGGCCACATCAAAGAGCCGGGTTTCCACTGCCTGTTCCCCTTGGGAAAATTCGCACTTTCGAAGCCCCTCCGTAGAAATCTTGCACAGAAAGCAGGAATTACAGAAAATCATGTCAGTCTTAGGCAGACATGTTCACTGAGAGGCTCACAGTTTATCAGCATCTGTGATTTTCACATCAGCTAGCAGATAGCTTTTCTAGCCATGAAGAGAACATCATTTGCACGCTTCACAACTGGGAGCTGCTCCTAGCCAGAGCTTTTGAAAAGCATCATCCCAATTTGTCTCACTAATTGTCTATGTGAGACAAGGCCTTCAATGGCATATAGAGTGGTTGGGCTCCAAATAAGTATGCAACATGTCACCACTGAAAAATTATTCATTAGTTCTCCAGAAATAATTAGAGGATTCTTGTGGTTGTTGTTGCATCTTTATGAGAAACAACTCTATCAAAGCACTGGCAGAAGTGATCCAGACCCTACTGAAGACAGTGGAAAGTCCTCATTTTGAAATTATCTGCCCCTGAACAGAGGGAGGAAACTGCCCTTCTCAGCTTGAAAAATAGCATCTTTTCAGATAAAAGTTTAAAAGAGAGATTTGAGTATTTACCATGTGTCCTCTTACAAAGAAAGTACTGGAATGCATATGCAATATTGAAAAGTAGGTAAAAGTCAACCCCAGCCCGGCATGCCACCATTAACCACAGTGAGAATTTCAAACCCCAGGCTGGCAGCTTGCCTCAAATATTTCCTTTGAAAACGTTGGTAGAATATGGACCTCGGCTCTTGTTGGTATGCAGCAAAAACACTGTGCTGGTATTTTAGATAATGTAAACAGTTGCTGCAACTGTCACCCAGGCACTTCATGATTGTTCATAGGAGAAGTGGAAATTAACAACTCGTGAAATCTTGATGGCGTCTGCATTTGTGCTTAGGACATGTGTGGGCATCTCTTCCCAGGTCCTTTGCAAAAGGTACACTTTATGAAAATCTTGAAAAATAATTATTAAAAAAACAATCTGTACAGAGTGACTGAGGAATGCAAGTCAAAAAACAATTAACGTTTTTTCCAAATACGAATTTTCCAAAAGGAGATTATGTTTTCCTTCCAAATCAGCAAATTCATCAGTATAAGAAGGACTTAGTGCACCTTATCAGTGTTCCTGAGCTGTATCTTCTGAGACAGACTGAAATGTTAATTCTTGGTGCTGATAAGTGACTTGGGATTCATTAATTCTGGACCATTCGGTCAGCTGCAGGAAGAAGCTTTTTGTTCCACACAGAGGAGACTAGGCCACTCTTAGGTTGCTTCCCTGTATGCTGAAGTTGCATTTTATTTCATAAGCATCAACAGGTACATCAGCGTTTCTGTCAAGTCAGTACTATACCCAGAGTAGTGTTGTCTTGCTGCCCATCACGGTCTGTATTTTCTGCTCAGAATGGGTAATAATTCATGTCTGTGTTCTGATGACACCATTTTAGAAATTGGGCACAGAAATTCTTGTGTCACTTTGACAAGCACAGTATTCCTTTTCCTGCCGAAAGTGAATCTCAAATACAGTATTTTGATTTATTTTTACATGCGATTTATGCTGAATCAAGTAAAAGATGACTAGCTTGGAGTTGCATCGGATTTCTTTGCACATTTCACCACTAGCTGTTTCCCCCTCCTCCCCTTCCACCCCCCCCCAGTGCCTACATTATGCAACTTCACATTTGGTAATCTGATCCTAATGAATTTTAGGGCAAAGAAGTCGTCACATGCTGGCATGTATTTTTAAAAAGCTTCATAGGAAATAGTTTCTTTTCATGCATTCTTTTACCTGTAATTATTATACAGATGCATCATGTTATACGTGAGAGGAAAAAAAATGCCCTACTGCATAGTCGACTCCATTTATATCACTGAAAGAGCAGCAATCCAAAGCATAAGTAACCTGAGCTCCATGTGCATTGCCACCCAAGCGAGCAGGACACACGGTGATGCCAAAATGCCGGTGCTGGGTGCAGGTCTGTGTAGCTCCATCCTCAGGGATTGCCTCCACTGGAGCAAAGCATGTCGTTAAACCCTGCTGTGCTGTGCTCTGCTTCACTGGGCGGCTGTGGGAAATACTATAAAATAGAGCACACTGTGCACCATGCACCTCATTCTACAGAGCAGGTATAGACTCTGTGATTACACCACAATGCCTGGCACATACCATGTAAATACGCAGCAATTGCATGTTCCTACAGCTTGTTAATTACACATCGTTACCAACAAGTTCAAAGATAAATGATCATAGCACATGCAGCACTTAGATGCTTGCAAACCTCTTAAGCTATGAATTTGTACTATTAAGTGCCACTTTTGTTGCTCTTCCATTGGGAAGGGAAGCACAGCGCTCTCCCAGCTGAAGGCCAGCAGTTGGAGCACACAGCTCTTACTGGTGCAGCAGAGGTATGCTGAAGCACTTCAACCAAGGAGGAAATCTGGATGAATTAACAAAATAACTTCCATTAACAAATCACTTTGCAAATTCCATTTAGTAATCCTCCTAAGCAAATGCTGTATTTAAAATCACTGGCACTTGCATGCAATAGAACTAACAGTTTTCCTGACCCAATATTTAATTTTGCACAAGCTAAAAATGAGAGGAAAACCTCATTCCACTGATGTCACTGGCAAAACTCCTATTGATTTCAGTGAGGCAGGGTTCTACCCAGGCAGCTTACTTGTAAATGGGTTCTTGAAATAGCTTATATTATATTCTGGCAGAAATAGATCACCATGTAAGGCCGCTTCACAGCCCGTGCTGGCTCTTCTGTGAGCCGCACTGCAGTATTTTAGACTACAACATACAACTTTTAATAGCTACCTCAGTAGCATTGTACAAAATACAATAATTCTCTATAAACATTGCTTTTCTCCAAAGTGAAGCTTCCCTGTAAGATATGATTCTGTAATGGTTTGGGGTCAGCTGTATATAAGCACCCAGACTGGATTATCTTGCTTTTTTTTTTTTTTTAATTGATTGGTTGTTTGTTTGGGTTTTTTTTCCCCGTTTTTCTTATTTCCATATTGATTTTCAATCTGAAAGGTGATGTCGATGTGTTTAAGTAAGGTCAGGAGGCAGCTTCATAGCTGATGTGAGCGTGAGCTCTCAGGCTGGAGGTAGCGCCAGTGGCTATCAGGAAAAGAGAGAGCTGGAGGAGGCTGGTCTTGCTGGAAAAGCAAAGAACTGGAATTTGTTCAGGTGACAGGGGAGCACAAACCAAAAGAAGGTTGAAGGGAGGAGCAAGAAGGTATGCCAGGACGCAAGTTGAGGTTTTAGTTGGAACGGAAGACTGTCTAGGAATGGCGAGTGAATTTACATTTGTGTTGAAGGCTCCTTAAACATGAAGGGTCAAGGAAGCAGGGAGAGAGACCAGGAGGAGGCAGGGAGGCGGAGGAAGCAAAAGGGTGATGATGTTCAGTCTGTTTTGAAAGAGCAACTAGGCAGGAGAGAGCCTAGCATGCCAAAATGAGATTGCATTTCAGCAGGAAGAGAACAGCTGGCAACGTGCAAGGCAGATTTTGAAGTTAAAGACAAGAGCAAGGAAAGGGGCAAGAAGGTTTATAGAAGCCAAACAGGAACAGAGTGGGATTAGATCACTGCAGCAACATATAACATTCCAGAGAGCTTTGTTATCTGCTGTGCTCTTTAGTTGCAAGTGCAAGATGGTCAATCATTTCTAAAACAAAATGCATTCAAATTGCAGTTCCTTGATTCTACATTAGAAAATAACTTCTTATGCAGGACTGTTATTTGGAATGGATTCAATTTTATCTAACCTGTACTGACTTTAAATAAAAGAGAGGTAC